ATAATTTTAATCTAAATTGAAATACCTCCTTAATGAAAACAGTTCTCTCTATTCGTTGTTATAATTAGATTTTTTTACAAAATTCTACTATAGTCTACATTTAGCGAGTAAGTATAATTTATACATAATTTAATATTTTAACACTCAGAAAAACACAGAAACATAATATTAAAACTGACTGATTAATTTGTTTTTTTCAACATCTCTCAAATTCTCACTTATTTATGTGGAATGTTCGATGAACAAGAGTACTCTTACGTAATATGTTGTATAAAAGAAAATAAAAAGACTATCCTCAAAACATTCATAGCTTAGATGTATTTGAAAAATATATCAGGACTTTATTCATATGCTGGTTAACCGATTACAAAACGAAAAATGTAAATAATTTAATGAAGTACCAATAACGTTATTCCGGTATAATTAACGAATTATCTCGCATTCGCATTCATTCAAGTTCCCGGACAAAATGAACGGCACGTGATCCATTACGGTGGGCAATATTCAGTCCGCCATTCAGCGTTAATTGCTGATATTAATTCATCCTCCTGATTATTATAGTGATTATAAGCAATATATATGTTTTTAAGGAATTATATTTTCAAAATTGAAATAATGAAGTTTACTTGACGAAGGCTAATACATAAATAATACAAAACTTTCATTGAATGCGTACATTTATAATGCTGCCCATCGTAAAATTTATTGCTTAATCAATTATATTTGAAAACGGATAGATATTTCAACTTTAATGACATTAATTATTATAACCTCATACGTCAATATTCATGCATTTACTATGTAAATGTAAAAGTCAATTAAAAGAAATTTCAAACATTAGTATTTGAATTTCTATCATCTTATGAAACTTCCTTGTGATATTAAATACTAATATTTACAAATTAGGTATACACACATTTGTAGACTAAAATTATTTGAAAATATTTAATTAAGATAAATTTATTAAAAATATTTTCTATATTAATAATTGCTTGAATTCACTAATTGTAATTTTATGTTCAACCAATATTTTTATAACTTAAAAGAAACAAATTGTATAAGAAAGTTGAAAATACTCTGTAAATAATTAAAATAATTATAATTACAATAATACCAAATAGCCATACAGCTGAGTTAATTAAAATCTAACTATTATAAATATTAATAGGGTATTATTATTAAAAATATGACATATATTTTTAATATAAAAACCTTTATTTTCCAGATATTGTTTATGTTTATTATATTATATCAGTTATTCTTAATGTATGTATACGTAGTGCAATATTTAGATTTAATAATGATAGTTATTTTGGTAACATAAGGTTGTATTGTCTTCCTAGTTAATGTAATAATAGCTAATGGATATGCTATTCGAATATTTCTGGTTAATTCTGTATTCATAAGCGACTATATGAGCTTGCGCGCGCCTGTGTGTAATAACAACAATACAAGTTTACATAATACACAGAAATTATAAAGTAGCTTTATCATTTAAAAATTAATGTAGTATAGTGTTTATGAAATAAGCTGTAGTAAGTTATTTTTATATTGAGTAATTTCATAATATTATAATAGAAATTAGTATAAAATATAAGAACACTAGAATGATAATAGTGATGTTGATGAGAATAAAGCCAAGAAATGGTTAATCTAAAATATTAAATTGTAGATTTATCCGAAGCAAGCAATTTTTCATAAATTGCCAATACTATCATTTTTAAAAATCAAGTCATTTAACATATTCTTATAGCCTTTCAAAAGTTTTACATGTTCCACAGTGCCAAAGTTTTACATCACGTATAAGAACCATTACTTAAAGTATGAAAGAAAAGTTACGAAAACTTGTTTATTGTAATTTTAAAGAATATAAAAATAGGATGAAAATTAGTTGCTTAACTTTGTTTATTACTATTCGAAAATTAAAAAGAACAGGGAAGAGCTGAAGGCCATTCTAGTAGAATACAAATCGCAATTACATTTATTCGGCGGATGTCTGTATTTCTTTGTAACATAATTCTAAAATTATAGTGTCTTAAATCCTATTATAATAAACTTCTAGTTATAAAATCACGTAACTAACATCAAATAAATAACAGAAACGAATTAATTATTGATTTAATATTCTCATAAAGTAAAGCAATTTACGGGGGTGTCATCGAGTCAGGTTTTATTTGACAAATTGCAGAATCTGATGAAACAGAGTTCGACAACTTCTACTGCCATCGTTTAAACTTCCATAATAAAAAACGTTAAAAAAAAAAAAAAAAAAAGCCATTATTTCCTCCGCCCTGTAAGATCGTCTCATTTTGTTTGAGCTAATATTTCCTAATGAAAGTTGGCTCGTCGTAAGTATCAGATAACCAACCTTGTAAAAAGACTCCGTCAAAGTGTCATCTCGCTAAGCTCTATCTTATATGTGCACACCTAGTTTTCCACGCGCATATGCTGCTACGAAGTGAAAACAAGGAAGGAAGCTCTCGATCTCAAGTTAACTACACATTTCTTCCCGTGCGCATACGTACGTGCGCTTGTCTGTGCGCGCACGTGTATCCAACTCACCCACACCCGCGCGCCCGCCCGCCCGACAATGCCTACAAGCGCATGCAATACTCGGTCGCGCATTAACAATAAAAATGTAGGGGATAGATCATTTGCATGACTCTCATAGGGGATATTTATCACTGAGATGGCGCTCGAACGGTGCCTGGATAGTTAACTCAAGAGCCTCTCTGTAACTTAGATATCTGCTTTTCCCGACGTGCTTACGTATGACCATGTTTTCGTATTAATGCCATCAACGCTCTATATGTTGACACATTCACTCATGAATGACTTTAACAATAACATTATATTGCATCTCCGAGGCAAGTTAAAGGAGTTCGTGCTACATTCTGCAACTAAATTACTTGGTGAGAATTCGTCTGCATTATATTCGGGTAAAAATAAATGTACACCATAATAGCTCTTTTCGTCAGACGATAAAGTTTTATTCTCTAATAAGATACAACATGATCGTCCCATGTTGTTTTCATACACAAAGAAATTATTACCTTTACCAACAACCATACTATTAAATCTCGAAACATCAAAGTTAACGTTCGATTATAAAGTATCAATATGCAGCGATAATATAGGCAAAAAACTTATTGGATTTTGACAAAATTTCATTAATAACTAAGTAATTTTATAAATTCATTAATTATAAATTGACAAGCTTTCGTATGTACGCTAGGAGCTTGCAAAATTCACAACTTAAGGTCAAATGATGATGATCGGCATATGAAATATATTTTTTTCAATTATCTCGAACTGTCGATCATTGTCGTTTAAAAATATCAGATTAGATTTTTAACGAGAAGCTAATATGACGAGCTACAACATCAAAATTTCAAAATTTCAATTAATTATCTCATTTTTATATATTTAATTGACAAAAAAAAAAAAAAAAAAACTATTTACATTTGTACTATCGATCAACCTATCGTAATGCAAATTTTTCATTATTTAACAAATATGTACCATTTTTAAATACGTCAATTAATGCTCGTTAAAAAAAACCAAACAATTAAATGTGAAATAGTAACACTCATCAAACTTAAATGGTATAGATAATAACTAATAAAGACTTTTTTTTTTAACACATACTTTATAGTAAAAAAACAAACAGTATAATATATATTCTATAGAAAAAACATAGATTTTAGTAGTATGTTTGTTAATTAAGTGTTGCTTGTAAAAAACATTGTTTATTCGCGTAAAATAAATAATTATTTAGTAATTTAAAAAAATGTATATATATATATAGATAAATATTTTATGAGAATATTATTTTTTCATAGGAGAAAATAATTTTTATGCGAGTATTACATGTAAAATAAACAATAGAATAAAAGAATTTTTGATAAATGAAATATTGTATATGAATCGTTATTATTATTATTATTATTATTATTATTATTATTATTATTATTATTATTATTATTATTATTATTATTATTATTATTATTATTGTACTTATCAGATATCGATAAATTCAAAAGCACATGAATTGAATTGCAGTAAGTAATAAGCAATAATTAACAGCCTTTAATGGCGAGCAATAAATTATGTAAATGTAATATTTGTATGAATTTTCCTAGTTGTAGGTATAATGAAAACATTGTTTTCTCCTTATAATTGTTTACATATAGTTGTTGATGCAAGATTATTCATAGCAGCGAACACTCCTTCAAAATCATTAACAGTGAATCAGAATTTCACTAGGAATTTTACTTCATCGTATTAAATATTTTTAAAGCTAATTTATGTAATTAATAATTATTATTTTCAATAGCACAGCCATTTATTATTTATAATTATGCAAAGTTATTTATTTTTTGTTTTTATTGATATGTTTGATAATTTTTCATTTATTATAAACATTATGATGTTACTGAATAATGTTTCAGGTATAACAAAATGTTCTTTACGAAGTAATCGAAGATAAAGGATATTATTCGTAAAATCTCAGAACTGCTAATGAATAAAATCTCTATGTATGTATAAATAAATTAAATATTCAATAATTTATTAATCACTGAATTTTAATGTCAATCGCTTATTAAAATTCTCGAAAATAAAAAATAAAAAATAGTGGAATGAATTATACATTATTTTAAATTCAATTTTCTTAATTTAAGAATTAATTTTCTTAATAGAAGAAGGCAAAAAAAAAAGTTTAACGTTATCAAATTTGTATTATTTACATTAAAAATCATTGAATAATAAGAAGAAAAAAGCTTTTTACAAACTATCGGTAAAACGATCTTTTTTTATTATTACCTTTAAAAAATCATTATAACCTATCGACGTCGATTATTATATTATGCTTATCTGCGCAGTAAATTTTAAGCAATGGAACATAGCTAATAAATTATGTCATCGGTGAGTCATCATACGATTAGATCAGCAGGCGCTCTCGAAGAAATTTCGTGAAGAGCGTTTCAGTACGAAATACAGTGCCAGAATGGCCGTCACGGGCTTCGCTCTCGTATCCGTAGTTTTAATTTTGTTCCTGCTTTATTGGTTTTTAACGAAGACATTCAATCATTGGGAAAAGTGCAATATACCATATTTGCGAAATGCAATTCCTGGATTTGGGCATTTGTTGCCTCTTCTTACACTTAGAGAGAATATAGCATTATTTTCAAACAGAGTATACAAAATGTCGGATAGTAGTATGACTGGTTTTTATTTTTTACGACAACCAGCTTTGCTCGTACGTGATCCAGAATTGATAAAAAGCATTCTGCTAAGCAACTTTTCAAGTTTTCGTAATAATGGGATTGTATTGAATGAAGATGCAGATCCGGTTTTATCGAAAAATCCATTCTTCACGGGTGATTATCAGGCTTGGAAAATTGCAAGAGCCCGCGTGTCCAATAATCTTTCGAAACTCAAGTTAAATTATCTATTTGTAATAGTGAACGATGTAATTTCAAAAATGGTTGATTTCATCGATAAGAAAATTGAGAAAGATGGTAGTGTTTATGAATGTGAATTGAAAAAGGAATTTTCACGATATACTGGAGAAGTTGTTGCTAATGCTGCGTTCGCCATTAACGGCCAGAGTTTTAGCGATAATCCCGACAAACTCGCATTTACAAATGTCGCTAATACGCTATTCGACACAAATTTCATCAATGGTATTAAGCAAATGTTAATTTTCTTTTTGCCGAATGTCGCGCGTCTCTTGAGAGTAAACTTTTTACAGAAAAGTACAGATTTATATTTGAGAGAGAATTTAAAGGCCATTATAAAGCAAAGAAAGCAAGAGAATAGTCAGCCCAAGGATTTTCTTCAATTTTGTATAGATTCAAATACTGAAGATAATATAGACGGCATCATTTCCGATGTAATTGTGTTTTATCTCGACGTTTTGGAAACTACAAGCACAGTCTTATCAATATTATTTTATCATCTCTCTGAAAATCCGGATGTGCAAGAAAAGCTACGAGCTCATGTAAATTCGGTACTTAAAGAGACTGATGGCGTATTAACCTTCGAGTCATTGAAAAATATGGATTATTTAGAGGCAACGTTAAACGAGTCATTACGATTATTACCACCATTCGGAGTACTTACAAAATTCTGCACTAAAGAAATTACTCTAACAGGATCTGACAATTTGAGTTGCGTATTACGACCGGACGATCGAATTTTTATCTCATTAAATGGTCTTCATTCGGACAGCAAATACTGGCCGGAGCCGCACATCTTCAATCCAGAAAGATTTACTAAAGAAAATCAAAATAATATAACGAAATTTACGTTCTTGGGATTTGGTGAAGGACCTAGAATCTGTGCTGGTATGAGATTTGCAATGATATTGGTGAAAGTCGCGACGGCAACGTTATTGAGCAAATATTCAATCGAGCATTCCCAAAAAACAAAATTACCTTTTCAATTTGTTACTACATCATTTATAACGTACATACAAGGAGGTTTGTGGGCAAAAGTCAGAAAATTAAGTGAATCGAACGAAAATGATGTTTAAAGCATCGATTGCACAATATCTGTCACATATATCTGTTTCATTTTAAGCGATGACATTACCGTAAAGTTAACAAAAACAGTTAATAAATTAACTTTTTCTTAAATTATACGATTTCATTTTTTTTTCTTTTTTCATCAAAATTGATTTAAGCTTTTATCAAATTTACAATGCATTTTTTAAAAAGTGCAAATTTTTTAAAGATTAATAAGTGTTGAAGTTATAATATGTATTTTTAACCTTAAAAAAAAAAGACTTTTTACAACATCAACTGATGGATAACTTTGTAAAAAATGAGTACTTTCATCAATTTTCCTGTCAATTTTATTTAGATCGTGACATCGTTGTTGTAATAAATTATATTAGCAAATACAAGTACGAGTGCTCATTTACAAAAAATGTTTCTATCAATAGTTCATGACATGCTTTATAAAATAAAATTTTTTAATTAAATTTTTACTATATACATAGCCATAATTATTCTGTATATTAGCATACATTTTAGAACGAATTTTTATATAAAAGAAATTATCAAATTAATATTTTATTTATCATCATTGCGCTAATTAAAATTCTGCAACAAAGACAAAAACAAAACAAAAAAACTCCACAATGCAAACTACTTTCGAATGTAATATTAATTAATTTTGTATAAGAAATTCTTCAAATCGTCGATTCCTAGTAATTCTAAATGAATAAACATATCTATTTAATATATTGTGAGTATGATTATGGAGGATACTTATATCCAAACTATTTTTTCGTTATTTTTGCACGGTCACTTAAAAACGAAACCTCTCATAGACTTTGAATAAATTAAGAAAAGGAAAATATTTGTCGTGGTAGGACGATACATGCAGAAATCCACTAAAACTTTTTTCATAAAAAATTTCTTATATTGACTTTAAAATTCCTTAAATTTCTTAGTAACTCTATCTAAATTTAACTTTATTTAAATTAATTTTTTTTTTTTTTTTTTTTTTTTTTTTTTTTTTTTTTTTTTTTTTTTTTTTTTTTTTTTGAAGTGTTATAATAATAAGAATGAATATTAAATAAAAAATACATACATATTTGCTTTCATATTTTATATGAGAGTGAACGAAATTAAAAATTATTACTTTAAAAATAGGACAATATAGGATGTATTATTATTGTAAGATATGGTAAGCAAAATGTACAATGTGTACATTTTGTGTTGATATAAAGAATGTTTTGAGAGTCTACGTCCATCAGTATCAAATTTAATAAATACAAAACTATTGTGTTATATTAATAGTAAAAATTAATTATAAATAAATTTAATTACTTTTAAAATGTCTTTGAAAACTATATTAGTGGTTATTAATAAACAATAGATTGCGAATGAATTATTGTAAATCGTTGTATAGCGAACAATATTGCAATAAAAATATTACAACATATAATTTTAATAATAATAATGTAAATTCATGAATCCTAGTTTATTATTATATGTTACAAATATATTTCGTTGCCTTACGTCTTATTATCTTCAAATTATCTTACGTTTCTGATAAATAGCGACAATAGTGGAATGCGTAATAAATCGTATTCCTTTAATTGTCATAGAATATGTCGATGAATGTTTGAGCCGACTTGTAATAAATCTAAGGAAAGCACCTTTGGAAAATTCGCACGTCGATAAGGAAGGGAAAAAGAGTGTATAATCGCCGCGAGTATATACTGCAACGAAGCATTTTTTAGTAATGCTCGATGCATCTCCAAAGATATATGCCGGCTATAGAGGCAAATGCCGTACATTCGAAGGCACGAGTAACTCTGAATACTAAGGTACCTTCGTCTCGGATAAACCAATCGAGTCTCAGGATATGGTCTAGCTAAAGCTCAACCCCCTCTCGAGCTCGATTGTGCGCGCGCTTGTGTACTACACGCGTAAGCCGATGCTACACGAGAGGATCATGTGAATAGCGGGTAGCTACAACCAACACATGTACATGAACGATAGAGAAAGAGATAGCGCGCAAGATGTAAAGGGGCTACAAGGAAGCAGAGGGTCAAGGGAAGAAATGTGGAGGGTGGAAACATCCTGTATCTTTACGAGCTCCTAGGGACATAAACTGACGTTATCCCTTGACTATAGTCGAGAAGCACACACTTGCTTTCTTGATTCCCTTCGATGTGTACGCACTCGTGGATGTGAACCTCGGACCCTCAAACCCTTTCCCGTGCAGTATCCCTTCCGATCCCTCCCTCCCTCCCTCCCCTCTTCCACCGTCCACCACCCATCCACCACCCACTCGCCCACCCACCACCACTCTATCTCGGCAGACTACACTGTGTGCTCTGGCCTACTCTTTGGGAAAACACAAGTGCACACAAACACATGTTGAAATGCACAAGCTATAATAGCGTCGTGAGAAGTCGTCTTAGAAAACCTTCTCCATCCTGCCAACTGCGCTCCGTTTTGTACGTGTTTGTGCGTGTGTGCGTGTGTGCGTGCGTGCTTGCGTGCTTGCGTGTGCTTATTGTGAAGTGCGGTACACGTATGCGGGCGTTCCCTTACATACGCACACAGGCACGCCGGTCAGGACGAGGAGATAACGCGCTCGGGGGTGTCGTTTTCCCATGGTAGATTGGACCGTCCAACTTTCTATGCGACACTCTGTATTACACCGAATGACTTCGACTATTCGATGAAACATCCGTGCGAGCATGTGCGCGAGTATACATGTGAAAGCGATGACTAAAAGTGGCGAGCAAAAAGTGGAAAAAGTAGGAACTTGAAAACTTGTGCTCACCAGTGAATTTGGACTGATGTCTCCTTTTACGCTTACTTGAATAGAAGAAAATTTGAATTCCGTAATTCCTCGAGGCTCCGTTCTTGGATTTTCTACATTTACGTATCGATATTAGCCTGTTGAATGTATCGAAAAATTACTTATATGAAAATGTATCAGTGAGTTTTGAAAAATCAATCTACATCACAATATCGCGTGTAATAGAGAAATATTAATTAATCGATGAGAAAAAAAAATTCAAATCGTCATCTACTATAAATGATAGATTTCATAAAATAAAGTGATTTATCATATACTTATTAATAGATATTTAATCAATGCATAAGAAGAGATTTGGTGGTAAAGCCATTAACAGATTATATTATGTGAGATTAATTAAATTCATATATTCAATATATTCATTAATATCAACAGTTCTATTGAATTAAATCTAAATGTTAAAAACTTATAGGAAACATTAATGCTTAAGTTAATTAAACGAGTATGTTGAAATAGGCATATACATACGTTCGGTTACGTACTTTTTTTTTTAACGTTTCTATTTTTATTTTAAATAAATAAAGGTTATTTTCAAATTACTTAATCCATACAATAATAAGTATATACATATACATAGACATTATTATAAATTATTGATAATATGAAATTAATCGACTAAATAATACACCTTTCATACACCTGGATGTGAAATTTCCTTGTTCTTGCTATAAAAATAAAAAAATTCATTAATTTAAACTCAATTTTTATTGACGAGACTGTATAATAATAAGTGATTTAAAATTATATTCTACATTACATTACAAATATTCTACAGCACATAAACATTTTAAGTGCGAAACACGAATTCAATTTGGAATATTTTATTAACTTCCTATGTAACGTTGCTCTGTATTAATGGGGCTTCGCAGTTTCTATATTATTTTCGAAAAAAAATATTTTGCAGGACCTCATACATTTGAACGATTGTTTTGTTATTTGTTTGTTATTTTTGGCTAAATTAATATGTATCAAATATTCTTACCAAAGTAATCGTTATTACAACTATATATAATAGATATTTTTCCGAGTTCGTTTAGTCCGTTATAATGTTAAAAGTTTGAAAACCAAAAGCTAAACTCTTTGAAGTTCCGAAACCACATAGGCATTATTGTGAGGGTACATTTTTATTTCTCCATGACACGTCTCGTATATCTCCTGGCAGGCCTGGCAGGTGCATTGTGTGAAAAAAAATCGCACGTACCCAACACGTCTTTTTACACGCGAAAAGCCGACAATGCATCGCCATATTTCGCAGAGGTGCTCAGAGATGATAAAAAAAAATGCGATGGAGAAGAACGAGATGTGCATAAAAATATACTCAATCTTCGTCTTAGAGTAGCCGAAGGTGACGAGATCTTGCGATGCATATCAAATTTTTCCTTCCTTCGTTTCTCTATTATCAAACTGCTAGAAGAAGAAGAAAAAAAAAATTGAAAAAGAATCACATCATTTTAATGGCATTTGATACAACGCATAATTTGCAACTATGTTATGCAAACGAAATAATATACTTTTTATTTTTTTATTTTTATACATGACTCACTTATTTTAATTCCATTTCAATATTGATAAGAATTTTGTTTTATTTCGTATTATACGTCTTACTCATAAGCCATAACCTTTATAGATCAACATATATCATTCTTATTATCTTTTAACTTTATGAATTATGATAAATTTAATAATCATTAAGATTTTGTTACTTTTATCTATATAGGAAACTAATACAGAATTATAAAGATTCAATGCAATTAATTAGGATATTTAATTTAACTTTTGAACTTTTACAAATTTAAAGCTTAAAAGCTTCTAAAAATTTTTGATGGTATTAACCTTTATAACAATCATTAAGGGGTTTTAACATATGACGCTTTTAGATATTCCAATAAAGTAAAATTTCTTGTAGTGTGAAATACACGTGTGAAGTACAGAAATATTTTTATTGTCATCATATCGTTAAGTTCGCTAAGAATACATACGAATGAGCGTATGTTCATTACGAATTAATCTCATTTCTCTTTAAAGGAATAATTATTGTCAAAGCACAACGTTGTATTTTTTTTTTAAAAAAAATATATCTTCGTTTATTGAGAATATTATATTAAAGAGAAAATCCCGAACTAAAACAATGTCTTTTATACATACTACAACATGAAAATTATAATGAAACATACGTATAATAATGTTTCGTTTACATCGGT